ATTATTTGTATATTGTATAAAAGTCTTAAATAATTAAATATGTGTTTTGATTTCTAAGAATGTGATATTTATATTTTTTTGTAAATATTTGCTATATTTTATTTAGAAAGAAACGGTTAGATACTAAGAAATAATATATTAATATTAATATATTGGTAAACTATAATAATATTTGATTATGCATAAATATTTCTACGAAAAATTGTGCAGTAATTCTAATTGGGTCAGAAAACAATTCATCCTCAACATAGTCACATCTTTTAGTGAATATTTATTTGAGATATATTGTAGCCCCATTAATCGGTGCTTGAATTTTATAATATATAAAACGATTTTTATCAAACAGATCATCCACATCTATAATGTTTTCAATGATATCTGTAATAGCTCATTTTTCGGTAGCAAGACTCCACAGGACCTTCAATAGTTATATTAACAGCGTGGAATATAACCATCAATTAAAGTTTAAAGCATTAAAAAAAACTGATATAGCATATAACATATATCTGATTGTGCAATTCGTCAAAATTAATTTGGGATTCAAATTTTCCATTTATTGATATCCGTTCCGTAAAATTTTGAATTATGGGGACAAAGGGTATCGAAAATTAACACGAATTTTAGAAAATTTATTAATTGATTTGTTGAAGCTTAGAGGAAAAAAATTGTTGAGACAAATTAGATAAGTTTCGAATTAAGGAATTTCGAATTAAAGAATTTTAAATAAAAGAATTTCGAATTATGGAAGTTCTATTGAAGTGGCTTCTCTTTATATGGATAGAAGCTATACACTTAGAAAAATATACTCTTACCACATACTAGTTAAATTGATCTGATCATTTTGTTAGAGAAATTTTATCTTATATGGTAGAAAAGATATAAAAACTAGCATGTGGTTTAGTTGAATTAACGATGCATCGAGTAAGAATATTTTGAGCTGAGATTTAGTTCCAATTTTGTTAAATCAAATAAATTACTTTTACATCTACACTCAAGATGTATAGAGACTTAGTTATTTGAGTGAAACTACATATGTGGTCACCCTTCATAATAGTTGAATGATTAGAAGAATGTGTAGAATTATTTATATAAGAAGAGTTTAAGTGCTAACATTTATGATTTTAATTATGAATTTAAAACAATTCACCGATTTTCGATAAATATTTAAAATTTTTATTATTAGTACTGGTACTATTAGAATTAGTACTATTAGTATTAGTACTATTAGTCCTAAAGAACTTATATAAACAGTTAAGTGTAATTAACCAGAAGTAAAAAAACTAGAGTCAAAAATATACTAAAATTCTGATGTCTTTAAAATTATTATTCTATAATTTTTAACCTAAATTTTTCAAAATAAAATATTTTTTTGACCTAAATATTTTAAAACCAAATATTTTAAAGCAAAATTATTTAAAACCAAATTTTTTAAATCCAAATATTATCAAATTACATATAAATTTTAAAACCAAATATTAATAACAATATTGTTTTTAATACGGACTAATTGGTCAATAGTTAATAAATACACTTTTTAAAAAATTATTGGTTTTTTAAAAAAAATTTAGTTTTTAATAAAATTGTTGTTTTAAAAAAATTTTTTTTATTTAAATAAACATAAAATTTTTTAAAAAGTATATTATGCAATTATTATTAATATTAAACCTGTCTTAAAAACAATTATTATTAAAAAATTTTAGTTATTCTAACAATAGTATAATGATTAATGATTATAATGATTAAATTAAATAATAATCATTATACTACAATATTACAGATATAG